AAAAAAAAAAAAGAAGCTAGCATCGTTTGTGGCTGAGACAGTTGAGGAACATAATTCAGTGGTACTGTGAGATTTCCTTACAGCACAGAAAGTATTTTTAACAGTCATGAATTACAGTACTACTTAATACCCTATGAAGACGCTTTAAAAACAACCTTGTACTTGAAGTCCTTTTTTTTCCCCAAACATTCTGTCCAAAGGATTAATGTTCTATTTGAATCAAGTGCCATCCAAATGTTCAAGTCAAAAATATTTATACATTTATACTCAGTTGTTTTTTATTATTTATTAATTATTTTATTTATTTTTTTTTTCTTTATTCTTGTCTGCTAAAAATAGTATTGCAAGTTTTGGCTTTCTTTTTATTATTTTTAACCTTGATGTAAAAATCGCGATTTTTTTTTTTTTTTTTTTATTTTTTTTTGATTTTTTTTTTTTTAATTTTGTGTGTGTGCAAAACGCTTTTAACAGTGGAAGAAACTCAAGGAGGAGTGGAGAGGTTTCCAATGTGAGTGTGCCCCACTCGCCCCCTCGCACGGTTTGGAGAGCAGGAACACTTGGAACAGCAATTGAATCCCGGGATGGCTGCGGACTGGCCATGGAAGGGCTGCGGGGACACTTTGGGGACATTTTTGGGGACACCCCGGGGTTCCCCACGGGTCATTCTCCATCCGCAGCGAGCGATTTCCAGAAAAAATCGGGATCTGAGCATCCCTCCCCACCCCCCACCCCCCCCCCAGAACGGGGGGACATTGGGGACATCCCCGGTGACATCCCCGGGGACATCCCCGGTGACATCCGCGGGGACAGCACGGAGGGGTCTCTGCTCCCCCAAACACCGCGGGCAGTTCCAGTTTTGGGGCGCTGGGTGGGCTCGGATCCCACCCCGAATCCTCCGCGGAAAATCCCAAGTTCCAAGCACGGAGGAGCCGCTCCCAGCCCCTGCCCGCAGCGCCGGGAAATTCGGGAATTGTCACCGTGTGCCACCGGGGGCGGGGGCGGGGAGGGGGGGTGGCAGAGGGTCATGCAGCCCCTCGGCGAAGCGGTGTTTAATTAGCGCTAATTAACGAGGAGGAGAGGAGCTGGTCCTACGCTATGGCAGCTGCGGGGAACTCGGGTGCTTTTACACTCTGCGCTCGTTAAAGGTGCTTGGTATAACTTTAGATATAGAATATACAGGTAATATTGCTAATAGTCAAGCATAAGAATAAAGGTGCAGACATACCATAAATACTGATGCTCTGATTTTACACTGTCAGACCTAGATGAATGCAGTTTTCCTATTCACATTATAAAGCAGCCCCAAAAATTCTAGAATTTAAAATAGTGTCGTAAACAAAGAGGAGGAAGGAGTCGGTTATGATCTGATCTTCTTAATCTGTTTTCCTTGGAAAAAAAATGATCAAAAAATTCTAAGGCACTCAGGAAAGCCGCATACAATCGATGGACTGCTCTGTTCTCACCTTACATTCAGTTTTAAGGGGTTATTTTTTTTTTTTGCTTTTTTTTGTTGGTTTTTTTTTTTTTTTTTCTCGGAAGAATACAATCATTACCATATAACATTTTCAAACATATCATTAATCCTCCACACACAGGAAACATTAGTGCAAAATGCTTGCCCTCATCTACCAGATAAGGAAAAACCCAACGCCCTTCACATTTTAGAAGTTTGCCTTCCTAATAATAATAATAATAATAATTAATAAAACAAACCCAAATCAGGAAAAAAAAAAAAAAAAAAAAAAAAAGAAAAAAAAAAAAAAAAAAAAAAAAAGAAAGAAAAAAACCCCCAAAATATACAGGAAGTTGTGCTAGGTATAAAAATATATATTTTCACTGTGCAACTTGACTCTCTCCAGACTCTCTGTCCTAAGCCATTCAAGTACTTTGCTGCTGCCCCCCCGGTGGCCCCCCCGGCTGTTTGGGAACAGGTTTGGTCCAGAATTAATCCCTCCAGCCAAGTGCAGCCCCCAGCCAGGGGGCTCAGCCTGCTCCCCACCCCCAGCAAGTGCCAAAAAGGAGGAGGGGGGAATCCTCGGCAATATCTTTTCTCTCTATATTTATATTTATATATATGCACACAGACACACACACACAAGGGACGACTTTTGATCTCCGGCACCCGGAGCCGCTCCCAGCTTGCCTCCAACTTTTGGCAAACCCAAAGATTTGGGGATCATCAGGAGGGTCCTCAGTCAAATCTGAGCCCCACCAAGGTGGCTGAGCTGCCCCCAGGGGCACGGGGACACCCCAGGGCCAAGGAATTGCTCCTTGTCCCCAGGGATGGCCCCAGAGCTCAGCCCGTGGTCCCCGGGTTTTTTTTTAGTGACGTGGGTAAAGTGCAAATAGAGCCGTGCCCATTCCCACTTCTCCAAAGCATCCCACACCTCTGCACCTGCACCAGCCCCCAAAACTTGGTCTGGGGCGTCACAGTCCCCCCAAAAAAGCTGTGCCAAAACCCAACGTGGGGCAGGAACCCCCCCCTCCCCAATCACTGATTTGTTGTGTCAGGAGCAGTGGCACAGGCTGGGCAGCCTCGTTATTTAACGATGCAAAAAACTGCTTCAAGTATCAAAGAAAACAAAACAAATGGCCAAAAGTTGGGTTATCCTCTCCCCACTCCCCCTTTCCCAATGGAAATACAAAGAAGGAAGAAAACCCTGAGCAAAGCGCTGTCTGGATTAGGGAATCAAAGCAGGAAAGAAAAGAGGAGCACAGCCACAGCAGCCAAAAAGTGACTCTTTGTGCACCTTGTTCCTAAGTCCCAAACGTGTTAAAGAACAAGCTGCAAGTGTCATTAAAGCAGGTCGTTAAGTCACAGTAAAAATAATCATCATTAAAAAAAGAAAAAAAAAAAAAAACAGGAAAAAAGCCAAACTTGGCTTTCAGGTCACTGTCCCTGTCACTGGGGGCACCCCAGCCTGGCCCCAGCACCCGGGAGAAGCTGCAGTGTCTGGGGGACAGATTCTGGTCACTTTGGGGTTTGTAAAGGTGAGGGACAGAGCAGGTACCTGCTGCCCATCAGGCTCCAGGGACACCCACAAGTCCCATCCCGAGGCCACCAAAGCCACCACAGCCTGGGGACATCAGCCTGCAACAACAAAAATAAAGACAAATAACTCCACATTGGGTTTTCCCCAGAAGGGGCTGCGGGAGGGTGAGCAGGAGGCAAAGGGCCTCCTCTTCACAGACGGGCACAAAGCTCCTTTTTTCTTTTAATTTTTGCATCCAATACACTCCGAATTATTAAAAAGTGAGAGCCTGGTTGGCCTGGGGAGGGGGCAGAGGGTGAGCTCTGCACTGAGCTCTGCCTCCCCTGCGGATGCTGCCAGGAGCCAACACCAAGAGCTCTCGACTCCGTGCCCTTTGGAGCAAGAACAACGAGCTCTCCGTGCTCAGATTCCTCCCTAAATCCCTCCACAGGCCCAGGGGGGGCTCCTCCCCTCCCAGCAGGTGCCCCAGGACCTGCACACCCTGGGGTGCAGAGAGGTGCCAGGGCCCAGAGTGGGGACGTGAAGGTGCAAACATGGGGAAGCAAAGGAGAAGGAGTCGCTGGGAGGGAGGGAGGGAGGGAGGGAGAGAGAGAGAAACCAAACCCAAACCCAAACCCAAACCCAAACCCAAACCCAAACCCAAACCCAGCTGTATTGGGCAAAAACCAGACCACAACCACAACGGTGGCCAGGCTCTCCACCTGCATCCCACAGAGTCCTCCCGACACGTGCCAGCCTGAACTCCCTGCTCCAGGGAGCTGCAGGAAACTCCCTGGGACAGCAGCACCCACGGCCAGGGCTCCCCCTGTGACTCCAGAGGGACCTGGTCACCATCACTGTCACGATTTCCCCCAGCCCATCCCACTTGGCTCGAGCCTTTCCCGAGACAAACACGGCCAGTCACAGCACCTGCACCCGAACACACCTCGCTTTCCTGTTCAGTGACAAAACTCTCCTTAGAGGACAAGGTTAACGATGGCTTTACTTCTGAGCTGAGTGATGGATGGGGTGATGACGGGGTGGTGGTGGGCGGGGGGTGGCTAGCTTTTCTCCTCCCCTTCTTAAAACAAACAAACAAAGAAATAAAAACGAAACAAAACAAAAAAAAAAAAAAA